GTCTTAAGCCACATTCTCAACATTGGTCTGTGTTTGGACTTTTTTCCTACCCTTAGCCTCTAAAAGCACTCCATATTTTACTTACTTAGTTAGTTCTTAATTATCAAGTTATAACTTATTATGAATTCAATAATTAAACATTTATCACATAAAATAAGAATTATCGCTATTGCAAATACCTGTTTAGATGTTGCCTTTCCTTGCAGATGACAGCTAATATCTATTATTTTAATTGGCCTCATCTGCACAAATCAAATTAAGTTTCAATTCTGGTTTCATAATGCGCGTCATCAGAGGTCCCTGCAAGGCTCTGTTCAAATCTGCTGCTATTTATGTATTTATTCAGCCAGCTAGTCAGTCACCCATCTATTCATTTACTTAAATATTCATGATTTAACTCATTTATCTCTTTATATATGTGAAAATAATAACAGAACCCAATATTCAAACAGTTACTACATGTTTCTGTCATATTTAGCTAATCCAAAGGGATATGGATCTACGTATTTTTCTTAGACAAATGAAGAATGACCACAGTGGCTGTAAATAATAAGGTTAATGTGGAATATATGAAACTTTAACCAATCTACAGAACAACTGCTGAAGTAGTCATAGACTCAAATGTGAGAAATAGATACCAGTAGTGCCATAATTACTGCTGTTATGTAAGTCACCAAAATTATATGTCATCTGCTGTCCTTATTAAACATTTCCATGGTACTAGATAATCTCTGAGCACAACAGTATGAAGCTAGAAATAAACACTTGGAAGAACAAGGAAGAAAATAAAAATTATGTAGAAATGAAATCGCACACTACTAAAAACTCCTATTGAGTTATAAAAGATATAAAAGTAAAATAAAAATTTGGTATCAAGTGAAAAGAAAAGCACAACGAAACTTTTGGGCCACAGCAAAAGCTGTGCACAGAGGAAAATTCATAGCAATAAATGCCTATATTAAAAAAGAAGAAAGATCCAAGATCAAGAACTCAACCTGACATTTTGAACAAACAGAAAAGGAAGAACAAAAGAAGCCCAAAGACAGGAAAGGAAATAATAAAAACCAAGGCAGAATAAACAAATAAGAAAAAGTAAAGCAAGAAAAAGTATCCACAAAACCAGAAGGTGGTTCTTTGAAAGAATCAATACTATAAACAAACCACAGGTCAGACTGGGAGAAAAATTAAGAGGCAAAATAACCAAAAGAAATGAATTTGGATATATTACAACAGATCCATCTGAGAACTGAATACAAAGAAAGATTGTACTTCAATACATTTGAAAGCCTAGATGAAAGAAACAAATTCCTAAAAACCTATTACTGACTTACCTATTTAAACTAGTTCAGGCAAAACACCCAAAAAGGCCTGTAACAAAAGAAGCAATCGAATATGCTATTGGAAACCAATAATAAATAAAAGCCCAGTACTTACAACGGGCAATTTGCCAAACATTCAACAAAGAGTTTACTTCAATTCTACTCAAACTCTTAAAATGTAAGAGGAAGAACAAGAAAATATTATTCTTCTAAAAAGAGAAAATATAAATAAAATAAAAGCATGTAAGAGGAAATAATACTTCCTAACTCATTCTAGGAAGCCAGCATCATGCTGGCTTGATACTGAAAGCAGGAAAAGACATCACAAATACACATTGCAGGCCAATACTCTTTGTGAATATAAACGCAAAGATGTAACAAAATGGTAGCCAACTGAATTCAACAATATATTTTCTGTAAAAACCATGCACTATTATAACATGGGATTCATATTAAGAATACAAGATTGATTTCATATTAAGCCATCAACTGGAATCACATAAATAAGACAAAGGAAAAGAACCAGATCATCTCAAATAATGCAGAAAAGGCATCTGATAAAATCTACACACTTTTTCATTAAAAACTCAACAAAAGAGGGATGGAAATAAGATTTTTTTTCTACTTTAAGTGAAATTAATGACAGTATTTCTAATGGAGAAAAAGCAAGAAACTTTGCCTTGAAAATGGGAATGAGAAAGATGCATTATCACCACGTCACTCAATAAAGTCCTAGCTAGAACAGGAAGAAAAGAAAGAGAAATAAAAGGCATCTAAATTGGAAAGGAAGAAGTAACACTATCTCTATTTGCAGATTATATAATCCTATACACAGAAAATTCTACACCTACAAAATAGCTGGATCTAACAGAAGAATGGAATTGAACTGCAAGGTATAAGATCAACACAAAAAAAGTTAGTTAGTTCAGTTCCTTTAGAGCAACAAGTAAGATCCAGAAACCGTAACCAAGAAGGCAGTACTATTTGTAATAGTTCCCAAAATTATGAAATACCTAGGAATTCACCTTGGAAAGGCTAGTTTTTGGCATTTGAAAGCTTAGGTCCTTTGTTTCATGATAGAACTTGATCAAACGGCATTATTAAGTTCCAGTGCTGCTTTCTAGTTAGCTGAGTGGTGGGTCTTAAAATCTTATAAGAAGCCATTAAAGAGAAAACTATTAGTTTGTACTCATGAAAAGAAAGAAGACAGCAGAAACCAAAGTCTCTGAACAATAGGTAATAGCCTCCAAGAGCTGTTTGCCCTGAGACAGAAAGAGATGGTGCCCAACTACCAATAGAAGGACCCTGATAAAATGGAATAAAAAAGCAGAACAGAAGGTAAATGCTTTTAAAAAAGAAAGAAAAAGTGCAGGCCTCCTGAATAGGCTGAGCCTGCAGGACTTACGGAGACTATTGTCCCAAGATACTCTTTAAATCTTCTATCTACCTTCTGAGATCACCTTTTAGTGAAATTGTATACTCGTTCATAGGATAAAGGGTATTATTCATACATGTGGTGCTCTGCAGTGTTCTCAATATGGTAACAACTCAACATCAAGAGACCAAAAATTCTTCCCACTAGACCTGTACCAGTCATGATAAATAGAGAAAAGATTTAAATCGTCAATGATTTCCTTTTACTCAGACTGACAATCAACACCCATGATAGCAGGAATCAAGAAAGCAAGAGACGTGTTGAATTGGGGAGATCTGCAGTCAAGGACCTACCTCTTCAAAGGGCTAAAGAGCAACGATGTAAGTATAGAGACTAAGGTGTGCCTGATCTAAGTCATGGTATTTTCAGTTGCTTCTTATGAATCTCAAAGTGAGTTGGACAATGAATAAAGAAGCCCAAACAAGAATCAAGAATGGCTGAATGGTGATGTTGATGAAGAGTACCGAACATACCAAGGACTGTCAAAAGAAAAAACAAATCTATCTTTAAGGACGTACAGCCAGAATATTCTCTAGAGCCAAAGATGGTAACACTCCATCTCACTTACTCTGGCCATATTCTTAGGAGAAACCAATCCTTGGATAGAGAGATCATGATGGGAAAGGTGCAGGGTCAAAAAAAGACCCTCAACAATATGGATGAACTCAGTACCACAACGGGCTCGAGCCTGACCGATCGCGGGGATGGTAAGGATAAGGCCAGATGTAGCTCTGTTGCTCCACACGGTCACTATGAGCTGTAGTCAACTTGATGCAACCTAACAACACTGATCTCTTTTTAAAAACTCTATTTAAGACCAAAAAGTAAGCAATTGTTCTAAATCACCAACCAAACACCCATCCTCAAGATCTCACCAGCCATTACTTGCACCAGTTGGCTCATGGGAATACGACTAGGAAAGAAACCGATTTTAACTCATAGCAGCCCTACAGGACAGGGTAGAATTGCTCCATTTCCTACATTTAACAAGAGAAGGAGGGGAGAAAGGATGTATACTGCATTGCAACAGATGAGGGAGAGAATTGTTTAAAAGGGACATATGATTGGGTATTATTGTCATGACAGGAGTCCAGAATGAAGGCTGCACAGTGCAGTGGACTTGGGGGGACGGAATGCATAACAATGAAAGAGTTTTTCTTTTACTTTTCAAGGAGAAGAGTGAAGTAGGGGGCAGGGGGTGGGCAGAGAGACAAGTGCAACAATGAATGACTGGAAACCCTAAGTCTCTATAAACTTCCATTCAAATTAATAAAATGGGGAAAAAATAATTACAAGCATGAAATGTCTCCTCTTTCTCCTCCAGAGTAGCTGGTGGGTTTAAACCACTAACCTCTTGGTTAACAGCTGAATTCTTAAGTCACTTCACCACCAGGATTTCTTACCATAAATACCTATACAGATCCCCATGGACAGCCGCAGTATGGGGCTTCCCCTAAATGTACTAGAAGGATAACCAGTCTGGAAGGCAGGGCCTCAGAGAGGCACGGTGGAGCCTCAGGCAAGACTTCCCCCTTGGGAGCTGCTGGTGGCACTACTCTCACTAGTGCCCCCTCCCTCCCAGGGTGATGCGGAGAAGAGAAGCATCTATAGTTTAAGTGCAAGTTCTCACCCAGCAGAAAGATCATTAACATTGTACCTCCTGCGAGCAGCACAGAGCTCCCAGGGTGCCTTGGCATACATTATCGCATTTGATCCTCACCACAGGCTCACAAATTAGACATAATAAAGTAATTACCCAATATTTACGCAATATGTACTCAGACCCATGGCAGCCTTGCCGGCACTGAGAGCCCTCCAGAGTGGGCACCATTCAACAACCGTGTGTACACTGTACCAGGCACTGGTCCAGGAGCTGGGAAATGCTACACTGAACAAACCAGCAAAATCTCATCCTCCAAGAGCAGTTACCCTGAACACGGGGTCTGGAACAACTAACGTTCAACATCAAGAAACAGCTCAACACAGAAGACCTAAGGGGGGTAACCAAGCAAAGGCATCAGTGGTCCCATTTTACAGATGAGAACACTGAGCCTGGGGTCCCACTTTGTAGCTGATCTCAGGGGAGTCCTTAATGCCCTCAAAGCTCTCTCCTCAGTCAGACACAGCTGGAATTCAAAGAGAGGGTGCCAGGCCTGATGGCCATGGAGTACCCTCACCTCCAGCTGTGAGGGGACCACGCCGGAAGCTGAAACAGGTTCCAGAAGTGCGCTGTGAAAACCTCAGCAATGTGTGAGCTGTGCATCTGGTCTGGTGGCACCTCCGGCCGGCTGGTGGCCCTTGCAGCCAGGGGCCACCCTTGCAGTTACCTGCAGAGGGCGCCACCTAGTGGCTCACCCCCTGAAGGTCCTGGGCTGTGTCGGGGCCGGCAGCCACAGGTGGTGGTGAGTGGCTGGAGGAGGTGCAAGCAGACCCCTTCCTGCCCACCTCACCCTGTCTGCCCGCTGTCCACTGTGACTCACATACTCTCTTGATCACTTAAGGGACCAGGACGGCAAGAGCCTGGGTATGTAGCCTGCAGCCTACCCCAACCCAACTTCTCCCCAGAGGCATCTGGGGAAAAGGAGAATTCTACCAGCACCCATGTGCTGCAAGTCTCTGCTCTATCAGACCCTGGAAATAGGGACTCCCCCACTCTGTGTCTGCCTCCTTCAAGGACCCCAAGAGAAACCCAGAATGTGCCAGAATTTGCCCTAATATAAGGTTTGCTTGAGCCTCTCCTCACTCAGGGTTGGGGACAGACATCCAAGTGTGGGTTTGTGGTGGCGCTTATCTGCCCCAGCCCCAGTGGACCTCCTCCAGCCCCAGGGGACCCTGAGAGCACAGAAGACATGTGACCACTGGGTGAAGGAGTCACCGTAAAAGAGATTTATGACTCCAGCGCTCTGCAAAGCTGAGACACAGGCAGGCGCCATTAAGGAAACACTGTCATTTCTTAGCTGTGATAATGGTTGTAGTTCTGATTTCAAAAAAGAAAATGTTCATGATTTACAGATACACACTGGGAAATGTCCAGAAAACGGGTGTGGAATTTGCTCTGGAATTGGCTGGTGGAGGTGGGGTGGGGGTGCATGCTGGGCGTGGGCCACGGCCACCAGGGGCCTGCCCCCAGGACCACAAATTCTCTGGTGCTGTTTGAAATGTCCCAGAGGGCAAAGCTGTCAAATTGACAGATGAAAACGATGAAGAGAGGGAGCAGAGGGGCCAGGGGCAGGGGGACAAGGAGCCCTGGAGGGGAGCAATGGGGCCAAATTCCTGGGGGGCTGATAAGGCTGGATCACCAAGAACAAACACCCTGAAGTGGACAAGGGGTTCTGTCCAGTGGGAGGGGACATCATCCAGTAACTGGAGCCAGCATCCTGATGGGGCATGTCAAGACCTCAGGGTGCCACACTGCGCCCTCCCAGCACTCCAGACCCTCCCACACTCATAAAGTCCTCTTGTTTCCCCCACATCCCCAGTGCCCTAAAGTCCTCTTGACCCCCTGACCCCCTAAAGTCCTCTTATTCCCTCACAAACTCCTGGTCCCCCCAAAATCCCCTTGGCCTCATCAAGTTCCACTAGACCTCAAAAATTCTTCTAGGCCCCGCTAGACTCCCCTGGCCCCCTAGAGTCCTCATGATCACACACCCCAGCCCAACGATCCTGGTCAGCTACGTGTCCTCTTAACAATCCTAGACACCCCCTCCCCAGTCACATACAATCCTACTTGTTCCCTCCAGACTCTCTTGATCTGCTATAAGGTCTCTTGCCCTCTTCACACCCCTGTTGGTCCCTAGAGACCCTCTTGGACCTCCCAGGCTTCCCTGGGCCCCTACAATCCCATTTGTTATGCTCCACACCCTCTTTAACCCCCACAAGTCCCCTCATCCTCCTCAAATCCTCCTGACCCCCAGATTTAGGGGGGCTAAATTCCCTTGTTCCTCCAGGTCTCTCAGGTTCGTTCCTTTGACCCTAGGTCTTCTTGTCCGCTAAGGGGTTCCCCATCTTTCTTCTTTGCCCCCACCCTCTGCCTCCCTAAGACCTTCCTACTTTGCTACAGGTTGTAGCAAATCCTTTTGTAGGAAAACCCTCTTGGTTTTCCCCAAGTCTTCTCTCCTCCAGATCATTCTCCCCACACCACTCCTGCTCGCTCTCCTGACCCCTGCACCCCCAACCCTGATTCAAAAGAAGAGCTTGGGACCCCCATGCCCCTCTGACACCCTGAGAAGTCTCCCAGTGTCCGCTCTCTCTGGCTCCTTGTTCCCAGCTGACTTTTTGTAATAGCAGTAATATTTCCTCTTTTGGGGGTCGGGGGAAGTGTTTTTCTTTTTTGGGTGGATGACAGTTGGTTCTTTTCCCCAAAAAATGTGTGCTTAGCAGCGAGAGTGAGCCGGACCCCTTGCTGCCACCTCCTCCCTGCCCCCAGCCTCCCCCTCACATCCCTGCAAATTGACCTGTTACAGCCCCAGCCTCACATTTCCTCCCAGGACCCCTCACTCACTGCCCCATCTCCTGGGTTTCTCCCCCACCCTCGTCCACCCAAAATGGCCTGACCCTGGCTGCTTCACCCAGCTAGCCCCCCAGGTGCCCTCTGCACCCGAGCTGTTCCCTCCCCACCGGTCTTGCACCACGGGAAGAATCAAGCAGCCCCTGGTGAGATCCCCGTTCAGTAAACTGCAGCGCAGAGCCTCTGAGAGGGCGGGGTGAAAGCGGGACAGGGACAGCGGTCACCCGCCCACCCAACCTAGCCCCCCAGGGCTTGTGTCGGAGCCTCCAGGAAAGTCGTGGTTGGGGTCCCTGGCTGTACGGCGCCTTCCTCACTATATGGGCTCTACAGTAGCCCAGGGGCCCCCTTGTGGCACTTGGGGGTGTCACAGACTTCAGGATCCTGGCTGGAAGCTCAGCCTGTCGGCTTCCACCGCACCATGAGTTGGCATAAATCTCAAGTAGCCCCAGTGGTGCCAGGTCAGCGCAGCAGCCCCCTGACAGGGGCAAGGCTCCTGGTCTCTCCACCTTCCCAGCCTGCCTCCAGACCTGGACTCTCCTTGGTCACTATGGGACTGGCACGCAGGCTGGGTCAGCCCTGGCTGAGCTGTAAGGCTCAGGCAATGATGTGTGCCTGGTGGTCCCCACATTCATCTCAAAAAATGGGGGACTGAATTCCAGGGAGGCTGAATCCCTGTCCACATCAGGGTGTGGTCTGGGGAGACCCCAAAAGTGGGTTTCAGCTGGGGGTCTTCTCTCTGGGGCAGGAGGCTGCCCTGAAGGCAGACACTTTCAGCCCTGCGCTCACTGAGCCCCTCAAAGGCTGATTCCTACGTCAGAAGCCCCAGGGGCACCAAGTTGGGCCTCATCTGTTCTCCCTGCCTCTGTCCCCACAAACAAGCCTGAGCCCCTCCCTCCGGCCTGCAGTCTGCTTGAAGACAGGCAGAGCCCTCCCCATGTCAACTTAATAAGCCTCTCTGCCCATAGGTGCTACGCCCACTTTTGAGTCTGCCCTTCAAACGGATTGGGCAGAGGGGCTTGGACTCGCGGGAAGCGCGTATATCAATCCACCCCCTTGTCTGCCACATCCCCCCCTGGCAGGCAGTAGGCACAGTCCTTGCTGGGCAGTCAGAGCAGCAGGGTGCAGCGGCCAGCCTCTCGTATGCTTGGGTTCCGGAACTCTAGCTGAGCGCAGGTGAGTGTGGAACTTCACTTGCTGGAGCCTCAGTCTCTCCATCAATGAAATGGGGATTCTGAAGCCCCCTGTCCCTGCAAAGGTGAAACCCAAGTGGCGACACAGCTTGAGGGCCTGGCCCTGTAAACCCCACCGGCCCGGCCTGCCCGGGGTCCTGCTTTATTATCATTGATATCCCCTGTCTCTTCCCCAGCAGACTGAGCCTGGACCATTGGAAGCAGAGCAGCGTCTCTCCCTGGTACCTCTCTTGATCCCCAGTGACAGCTCAGGTCTGGGCCGGGGAAGGTAGGTCCACTGCGGCTGCATGGAGGAGTGGGAGAGCGAATGGTTCTCTGTGGGGTCCTCTGCCTCAGATAAGTCCCTGGGAAGGCTGGGCCCTGGAGAAAGGGTGAGGGAAAAGTGGCCTGGGTCTTCACTCTGGGTCACCGGCTGTCACCTCCAGTGCAGATGCTGGGGCTATTAAATGCAGTGTGGTGACCTCTGAAGGGACCAGAGGTCCCCAGGCTGGGGTCTGCCTCTCTCCCTTGATTTGTGCAAGGAGCCAGTGGAAGGGACTCAGGGAGGCCAGGCTAATGGGTGCCTTCGCAGTCTGTCTGCAAAGGCCAGCTTGTTTACTCTTCCTGCACTTGGTTACATCCACCCTCCCACTCTGGACCCTTCTGTGGGTCCCGTCACGACTCCACACGTATTGATGAAGTGTCTGCTGTGTGCCCAGCTCAGCTTATCTCACTGAGTCCTCCCCGCCCGGAAGAGGGAGGGCCCCCACTCGGCTCCACTGCTCAAAGGAGGAAAACAGCCTCCGTGAAGTCAAAAGACCAGTCGTGGGGTCCCACAGCTACGGAGCAGGAGTCCAGTTCCAGCTGGTGCCTCTCAGGTCGGTCCCCTGCACTGCTCAGGAGTGCGCTGCCCACCAGGCACCTTCTGCAGCCTGGCCAAAGCCAGCTGTACTGAGAAGGAGGCAGGGGGCTTCGCACCGAGAAGAGTTCTCTCTGGCGACTGGCAAAGGGGTCATTAAAAAAAAAAAAGCTGAGAGAGGGCTGGAGGTGAAGACAGCGGCTCAGCAGCCGGGCTGGAACGGGCAACCGCGCCCTCCCCTGGGCCTCCTGCAAAAGCACAGGGCAAAGGGCTCCTTCCAGGAGCCTGGGACAGGTGTAGAGGGCCACCAGTGGCCCCCAAGCCAGGTCCTATAGCTGAGGGGACTTAGCTCTGCAGAGCGGAAAGGCAGGGGCTGAAGCTGAGCACGCTGCCTGCAAAGCTGCAAGGGCCGAAGGGGGCTTGAGGGCGGCTGCGAGCTGCCAGCAGCCGCGGAAGGCAAGGAGAGGCACGCGGCGTGCGCTGGGAGCCCTGAGCGGGCTGCTGGGGAGAGAGGGAGCTCCCTGTCACCAGAGGCATCTGAGCAGAGGAAAGCGGGCTTGCCTCTGGACTCGGGGAGCACTGTTTGGGCGGGGGGCGCAAGGCTAGGCCTTGGAGGGGCAGCTTCCACGCAGGGAGATGCAGGTCAGCACAGGGGCTCAAGCACCCTGCCTGGGCTGACTGCAGAGCACGGAGACGGCTGTGCGTGCAGCATCTGCCTGTCTGAGGGAGAGAGGAACGGAGAAAGGGGGTGAGTGTGGGGCCGTGGGGGGCTGGGGGCTGTCCTGCAGCCAACTCCCCAATTTCAAGGCCAGACCACCTGCAGTGGCCCTGCACCGTCCCCACTCACAGGCCTGCACAAGGTTCTTC